AGAAAAGTTTTTCCTTCTACAAGAATCTAAAAAATTAATAGCATACTAAACAAGGTTATGAGCAGAAACATTAAACAATTTAAGAATTCATGAAACTTTCCAACACATGAAATCTTGACATAAGATAATGGCATTTTCAATCAACAAACCACGTGATGAATCATCAGATGAATTTTGTGCAATTTAGAAACACATTTAGTTATAGTTATAATCCAAAAAGATCCTTCGGTCCTAAATTAACCAAAGATCCAAGCATTTAGTTATAGTTATAATTTAAAAAGATCCTTCGGTCCGAAATTAACCAAAGATCCAAGCATTTAGTTATAGTTATAATTTAAAAAGATCCTTCGGTCTCGAATAATTGATCCTAAGTTCACCGAAATCCAAGAACAAAAAATGTGACACACAAACTCCATCCGCACTAAAACAATTCAGCCATCAAAACAAAATTTCTCTCATGAGCAGGAACTATTTAATCACTTTGATTGTAAATTGGAGGTTCGAACCATATCTGTAATGAAAAAAATTTGAAAGAGATATCAGAATACCTTTTTAGTTTAGTCGAATCTGTATAGCTGTTAATTTTTTATACATGCTCTTTAGACTTCCCTCCTAGTAATAAGATAGATTATGTCACGGTAACGTTATCGTTGCGACAGGAAAAAAAAAGAGAGTAAGGAATTGTTTGGACCTTTTTTTAACGCTTAGGGGCTAAATACGAACCTAGCAGTGCTAAAGACAAAAATACCTCTCAACAATTACTTACTATTTGGAACAAGAGTGCAAACCTGAAGGACTTAATTGACAATATGTACATTTTTAGCATAGCTCCTCCCTTCTCCTTTTGACGTGGCGCAATGTGAGTTAAGAGGGTTGTATTTTTATCTATTTGGTAGTTATTGGGACACACTTCTAAGAAAAGTTTCTCATGAGTTTGTTTGGATTGAGCATTATTTACCCAATTTTATTTGTTTACATCATTATTACAATTTCCAATACACCTTTTTATCTTTCCAATTACCTTTTTATCTCACATACATCACATCACAAAAAGTGCTACAGTAAAAATATCCCAAATAATCTCAAATAACTTACATTATCTCATGAAAAAATTGGTTATAAATTACAAACATTCAAGGAAAAACTAGGGCAAGTGACATAAAATTTTGAATCAAAAGCAGAGTTTGACGGTTGAATCAATAATCTCACCATTATGAATAGGCAAGTAATATAAGATTTACTGCAAGTTCCAAATTTCTCCAATAAAAAAAAGGAAAATAAACTTGAAGATATTGAAAGGAATTAGAGAAAAATGCAGTTTTGGTACCTAAACTATGACGCATGAGCGGTTTTAGTCCCCAAATTTTAGACGAAAACAAATGTGGTACCCGATCTTTCAAATTTTGAGCACATTAAGTACCCTTAACGATTTTTTCTCAAATTGCTACCGGAAAAAGTCATGTGACAGTCACATGTCCGGCCACAATTGTATAAAAAAACGGCCAAAAAAATGTCAAATGTCAAATGCCATTCTAATACTAAATATTAAATTTAAGGACTAATAGCGTAATAAACAAAAAATCCAATGACCCAAGGACTAAATAACATCATGAGTCAATTAAAAAATAAAAGAAGAAAACAACATCACATAGTATCTGTTTCGTTCCTCTTGCTTCGCTTTCAAATAAAAAACCCAAGAACCGAACTTCAACAAAAATTCAAGTTGGCTCCAAAAATTCGAAAAAACTTGGCAAATTTTGGGGAGCATCAAACAATTGTGAAACGATATGTCAATCAGAAGCGAAGAATTGAATAATGAGCCACCCCTAAATGATGGTAAGTAAATACAGCTGTCCTCGTGTAATTTTTACAGCAATATTGAGTTTAGGGTGAAATTAGAAGTAACAAAATATCATTTATCATCTGAAAAAACTAATCTTTGGGAATGTTAAAGCAAATGGACAATGGATTCTCCTAGAAATTACAAAAATAGTTTTAATCCAGAGTATAATCTACTGTATATCCCATTTTTATGTTTCAATATTTGTTAGTTGTAGCTAAAATATCAAATTTTTTTTGCATTGCAATCGGCATTTTATAAGTGGTTTTGTTGGAGTATTAAACCCTTAGTATTAATTTGAATGTTGATCAATATGTCTTAAATTTCTTACATACATAATAGTGATATGTGCTCTCGTTTAACTGTTTGAACTATTCTTCTTAAAATATAGGAAATGGTAGCACTAAAATCACCATGAGATGCTATATTTGGGGAAAATGTATAAATGGGCCTGATACACATTATGAGGGAGGGCAAGTATGTGTGTTTGATTATGTAGAAGTGACTGGGATTAGTTTGTTTGAGATGGATAGAATGCTTGAAAATGAAGCAAGGGTCTACGGCAATAAAAGGTACCATATTCTTGTAGAAGAGTATGGATTTCGCAGGCTTTGGCATGATAAGGAATTATATGCTTATTGTGCAGATTATCTAGATTATGGTAGGCGTGTTGACTTGTACATTGAGGTTTCTTTTGCTGAAATTTTGAGGTTACAAATGGGGTATGATTATGAGGAGGATGATCATGATGATGATTATGTTTTAGAGGGAGGTATAAATGGTGAATCTGAAGAACACAATGGTTGCAATTCAGATGCTAGCTCAGGGGAATTTTCTGGTAAGGACTCGGACTATGAGATGGAGGAAGAGGATGATGATGATTATGAAGATAATGTAGATCAGAATGTAGAATGGTTGGGGATTGAGAATCAAGTAGAAGAGGAAAGAAAAATGATTGCTGAAGGCAAAATGATTGCTGCAGCTCAGAGGGATATAGGAAGTGATTCTGAGAGTAATGTTGATAATTCTGATGTAGATGCTGCGCCAGATTCTGAATCTGATTTTGAAAGTCTACATGGAAGTGGTGATGAACAATGTAGGAAACCACCAATATTTAATCCCAAGGACATGCATAATCCTAAAATTAAGCTTAAACAATATTTTAGCAACTTCAAGGAGTTTAAGGAAGCGGTCAGAACCTGGAATATAAAGAGAGGAAGGCCATTTAAGTTTGTTAAACATGACAAAGTTAAAGTGATGGCCAAGTGTCCTAGAGAAGGTTGTGATTGGTGCATCTATGCTAGAAAGTTGAGTGGGGAAGGCAGTGTGCAAGTTAGAACCTTTCAAAAGAAACACAAGTGTGGGTTCTCTTACCATAATGAAAGTGTAAGATCAAGTTGGGTGACAAAAAATTACTGTGAGACAGTTAGAGAAAATCCGAGGCTAGATCTTTAGAGCTTTACAAATAAGGTAATGAAGGAAAATAAATGTTTTTTAAGTAAGTATCAAGGCTATAGAGCAAAAAGAGCTGCCACAAAAATTGTGCAAGGGGATGAGACTGATCACTATAAGAAACTGCCTGATTATATCAATGAAATAAAGAGGAGTAACCTTGGAACTATTGTGATTATGAAAGTAGTAGATGGGTATTGTGATGCTGTCACAAGACAACAAAAGTTTCAAAGATTGTACATGTGTTTTGTTGGGGTTAAACAGGGATTCTTAGCTGCTTGTAGACCTATTTTTGGCTTGGATGGGACATTCTTAAAGGGTCCAGCAGGAGGGGTATTGCTAACTGCTGTGGGAGTTGATCCTAACAATGGATTTTATCCCATTGCTTATGCTGCAACTGAGGGGGAAACCAAAGATTCGTGGATGTGGTCTCTAACATTGTTGAGAGAGGATCTTCAAATGGAGAGAGACTATGAATGGACTATAATGAGTAACAAACAAAAAGGCATCATACAAGCATGTGAGGCAGTGTTTCCAAATTGTGACCATAGATTTTGTGTTAAACATCTACACAGTAATTTTTCAGTTGCTGGATTTAAAGGAACAACTTTGAGACGTGCACTATGGAAAACTGCTAAGGCAACCACACTTGCAAAATTAAGTACAAAAACGAGGGAATTAGCAGAAATTGACATTGAGGCTGCGAAATGGTTGGGTACAAAGCAGCCTATTGAGTGGACTAGATCACACTTTAGAACCTTTTCCAAGTGTGACATGTTGCTAAACAACATATGTGAGTCATTTAACAGCAAGATTCTACATGCTAGAGAGGAGCATATTGTGGGGCTGATGGAATCTTTGAGGCACTACGTAATGACCAGATTGCAGCAAAACAGAGATATGGCTAAGAGCAAGTAGAAGAAATTGAAATTCTGCCCAAGAATCATGAAAAGAGTGAAGAAAAACATGGATATGGCTACTCAATGTTTTCCTATTAAATCAAATGATGATGATTATGAGGTTGGCTGCCCTTATGTAGAAACATATTGTGTTAATATTAAAGAGAGAATGTGCACTGCATCATATTTGGTACCTTATGTAGCATCACCGTGTTACTGGAAAGTCATCTTTTGTTGGATTAACCAGTTGGATTGGACATATATTTTGTAGTGGTTTTGACTCTGTGCAATTGTTTGTAAGATTTTAGTTCACTGGAACTTGATGAGTTTACTTATTGTGGTAACTTTGTGAGTCCTACTGGAGTTGAACTTGCTGCAGAAATTGCTGTTGATTTTCCAGAAAAGAAGGTTGTTTTGGTGCATGATGGACCTAGGTTGCTAGAGTTTATTGGACCCAAAGCTTCCAACAAGACTTTAGGCTGGTTGAAAACAAAAATGTAGAAGTGAAATTGCAGCAATCTGTTCAGTTGGTTAGAAGTTTAGATGGAAGCAACGCTTACATATCTTCATCTCGCGAAACAATTAAAGCAGGCTGCCATTTTCTGTGCACTGGAAAACCAGTGGGTTCGGCATTTTCTCTTAGTATAAAACCATGTTAAAACAGGGCATGGTCTTTTGTTTAGCATAATCACGTAATATCCATGCTTGAACAAGGCATGTACTGGACTAATTCCAGTACATAATCAAGTCACAAATGAGCTCCAATTCCAGTACATTAATCCCAAAGAATTTTTTTTTCCCATCCATAATGCAGAAATTAATCTGCTGAATAACATTAAAAACATCCATAAAAAGGGTCCAATAACATTCATTTCATAACAACAAAATTAAAGGGGTAAATCCAAAAAAGTGCCAAATTATAATACTACTAATAGAACCTCAGACTTAGTAAATCCAAGAAACAAAACAACCTAAGCAGTGAGAACAACAGCCCCACCAGCTTCCTTAATCTTCTTCTCAGCAGTCTTGGAAACCAGCTTGACCTTAACAACAACAGGTTGATTTTCAGGCAAAACTCCCTTACCCATAACCTTAAAGTATCTGAACTGGGTGACATCAATCAAAGGGACGTTGTCCTTGGTAGCTTTGTCCTTAGCTTCTTGAGGAACCAAAGACCAGAGCTTATCGATGTTGACAATGAGGCAATGGAATTTGTTACGGAGCTTGTGGAAGTACCTCATACCAACTTTCCCAAAGTAACTCGAATGGTACTTGTCGAAGAGGTTCTTGGGTTTTCTATTGGAGAGCGAAGCAAGAGGAACGGAACAGATACTATGTGATGTTGTCTTCTTCTTTTATTTTTTAATTGACTCATGATGTTATTTAGTCCTTGGGTCCTTGGGTTTTTTATTTATTATGCTATTAGTCCTTAAATTTAATATTTAGTATTAGAATGGCATTTGACATTTTTTTGGCCTTTTTTTTATACAATTGTGGCCGGACATGTGACTGTCACATGACTTTTTTCGGTAGCAATTTGAGAAAAAATAGTCAAGGGTACTTAATGTGCTCAAAATTTGAAAGATCGGGTACCACATTTGTTTTCGTCCAAAATTTGGGAACTAAAACTGCTCCTGCATCATAGTTTAGGTACTAAAACTGCATTTTTCTCGAGGAATTAAAATCTAGGGCGATCTACACTTGATAAGTAGAGGTATCCGTGTTGGCAAAAGTTGACATTGACAGGTTACTTTAGTCACTCCCCTTACATCAAGAAAAACTCCAAAAAATGCAGCAAAGACAAGAAAAGGTTACGAGCGACTGATTTTAAGATGCCCATAAACAGCAAAATTGCAAACGGAAGAAGATTTATTGACTTTCTGGTTCATTTCATTGAACTATCTAGTTTCTACCCCACATCTACAGTCCATTGTTGTACCGCATAGTGCATACTGCGTAAAAAGAAGGGAAAATTGCCACTTTAGTCCCTAAATTTTTTTTTCTGTCGATTTAGTCCCTATACATTATTTATAGCCAATTTAATCCTTAAACTTATATTTCGATTCCAATCAAGGAGCTTAGCGGCGGCGCCACCGCATAATTTCCATCGGCTTTCCAATCGAGCAACCCATAAGGGGTATTTTAGGGACTTTCATTGTGGAGCCTTAACCAAAATTAAAAAAAAGGTGCAATCTTGCCGTTTCAGTGGGTAATGGTGGTTACTCCACCAATCTCCCGCCGGACGGGTGACACAACATCCTTTTGCCTCTCGTTTTCCTTTTTTGGCAGCTATGGTTTTAACACAGGCTATGAAGAATTTTCCGACTTATATTCCTCATCTGGAAGCACCCGCCTTGAGAACCCACTCCATTTCTTTATTTGCTTCATCTCCTAATGCAGCAGTTTCCTCCAAATTCTGTCCAGCTTCCCTCCTCAAAACTGAGAGAGAGGACAATTTTCTTGATGGGGTAAACACCGCCCCTACTGCTAACGCAGCTTTACCAACCATGGCTGACATCATTGAAGCATAAAAAAGGCAAAATCTGGACCTCCACCTCCAAAGTTTAGGACCCTTTTTCAGAATAACTGCTAAAACCTTGAAAACTGGCAATGAGCTTGGCAGGGCAGAAGGACTTGTGAGGCTGTGGCTAGGAGGAAAGATTCTTCATTTGGACTCCATCAAACTGCGCCGGGAGACCTTGGAGATGGAAAAATCTATTTTTGGGATTGGTTTGTATATCGGAGCAGTTGCAATTAGATATGGATACAATTGTGGCTGTAAGAAAGCTGAGTTACTTGCCATCAATGACACTGATTTATATCATTCACCTCTCGTCCTCGTGAGGAGTCCATTGCTGCCGCCAATCCTTCATTCACTGACGGAGTTGCCACCAAGGACATCCACATCGACCCCTTGACCTCTCTCGCCCTTCGAATCTTTCTTCCTGACTCCTGCCACGATTCCGCTTTCAAGTCCCAATCCATCAAATCAAGGGCCAAGGATATTCGACCATTTGATTATTCTGATCCCAGATCCGATCCGAACCATCTTCTTCTCCGGTGGAACAGCTATGGCTCTGCCAATGGAGTCACTACCACGACGCCGATCGTGACCATCCGGAATCAGAATCAACGGAGAAATAACTATGGCTGTAGCAGTGACGATGTCAATTTGAAATCGGATAGTGGAGTTTACGGAGGATATAATCCTAGAAACAAAAATTGGTGGAATAACCACCATTACCCACTGAAACGGCAAGATTGCACCTTTTTTTTTTAATTTTGGTAAGGCTCCACAATGGAAGTCCCTAAAATACCCTTATGGGTTGCTCAATTGGGAAGCCGATGGAAATTATGCGGTGGCGCCGTCGCTAAGCTCCTTGATTGAAATCAAAATATAAGTTTAAGAATTAAATTGACTATAAATAATATATAGAGACTAAATCGACAAAAAAAAAAATTTAGGAATTATATTGACGATTTTCCCTAAAAAGAAATGGTAAACATCGCCCTCTTTTTCTTCTTCTACGTCCACTCCTAAGTGGACTTGCGAAGTTTTTTTGAGCAAGAAATGAGAAACATTGCCTCTTCTTCTTCTTCTTCTGCTTCCACTCCTAAATGGACTTATGATGTTTTCTTGAGCTTTAGGGGTGAAGATGTCCGAAAGAGCTTTGTCGACTTCCTCTACAGTGCTCTGCAACAAAAGGGAATTTACACCTTCAAAGACGATGAAAAGCTTGAAAGAGGAAGATCCATTTCACCTGCACTACTCCAAGCTATTAAAGAGTCAAGAATTGCAGTTATAATATTCTCCGAAAACTATGCCACTTCTTCATGGTGTTTAGATGAGCTCGCAGAGATCATTGACTGCAAGCATGTGTTGGGACAAACAGTTCTGCCGGTTTTTTATTACGTGGATCCATCTGTGGTACGGAGACAGAAAGGCAGCTTTGATCGAGCTTTTGTCAAACATGAAGACGAAATAGAGGACAAGGAAAGGATTCAAAAGTGGAGAGCAGCTCTTACTGAAGCTGCTTCTATCTCTAGCTGGGATGTTCCCAACACTGCTGATGGGTAAATTCACCGACTCTGATCTTTAAAAATATGAACTAGCATCCCTTCTTTTTGGGCAAATAGTTGGCTATTCGGTTAAGTATCATTTTTGAATTGTAATAAGCTGTCAGCTTCTCTCTCTCTCTCTCTCTCTCTCTCTCTCTGTATTTGTTTTCCTAGGGGTCATCGATCCTTTTCTTGGTGCGCTACTCTATCAATTTGGCGGTTTTAGGAGGATTGTTAATGATCTTGGCTAAAAGAAATTAGATCTGAGGTTGACTTGACCAATCCCATGACACCAATCCTGATACTGAAGTACCAATCAAGCACCTCTGAGGTTATTTGTAATTTATTTCTTGACTGTTTTCCTCTAGTACTCAGTTTTCTTGGAGGGGCTGGGGAAGGGCAGAAAAAAGGATTCTGAACCATTAACCGATAAATAACTACATCGATTTCTCTATCAAAGCAATGTGTTATTCAAAGAAAGACAAAATTATACAGAGAATTCAGTAATAAAGAATAGTGACGACCACACAAAAATGTTTGGTAGCTTGTCTTTTCAATTGTTGCTAGATCAATTTTGAGGGTTCAACTTGAAATTGATCACCTGTTTTTATGCAAACTACTGGTAATGGAGCTCAGAGGCTTGGATGATTGTTTATGGTTTTCGTCATAAGTATAATCTATTACCCTGAATCGTCTAACGCCTGAAATTTTGCCAAAGCTGTGTTTTTTTTGGTTGAATTTTTGGTACATGCATTAGCACGTTTTCAGAGAACGTACTCTATACTTGCTTGTCACACCTGAATTTCTGCAGCACGTCATTTTGTATTTTGTGGGATGTGTGTCAATAAAATTGCCATCAGTTTAACATTCTCAATGAACGGAGCAAAATTATTGTTTTATTATCATTTTTTAAAAAAAATTAAATGTATCCCTTTTTTAGCTTGCATTTTAAGCTGACATGTTGTTCCAAGCTTTAGCTTTGCATATAATCAAAATTAGATATGTATCATGTGAATATATTCATGCTTTCACTCCGGCAGAATTTGGCTAGTGTTCTTTTCAACTTTTCAGTTTAGTTTTAGAAGGATCCTTCCCATTGATTCTTGAGTTTATTCTAAGAAGGATCCTTCATTACATGCTTGCAATCCAATTATTGACTTCATGTCATTTCTTTCTGATTAGATGCGTATAAGATTATGAAACAGAAATGAAGAAATAACAAATTCCGACCTTAACTTTTTCTGTACTTTCATTGATGTCTGCATTCCTATGAGGAGTTGATAGTACACAAAAGAAGCTAAGTAGCAACCAGGTGACTCAAGTCCTGTTATCATATCATGTCAAACTTAGGATTCAAATAAATCGAATCCTTCTCATTTAACTACATGAAATTGTTTTTAAGAACTTAGTAAGTCACCCATAGTGAATAACAAGAGCATATTTGACCACTAAACCAGTCCATAATGAATAAGTAAAAAACTATTGGTTTCTATCAGTACATATATGTTGTCTTTGTGAATGTTTCTTTCCCATGAGTTCTCACTTTTGGAAAGGTTTTATCCATGCTATCATTTCTTCTGCATTTGACATGTTTCCCACACATTTTTTTGATTAGTCTTCCTTTCTGAAATTTCGTCTTGTCACCTCTTCTCATTTGGCAGTTGCAGTTCTGTTACTTTAATACCACCCTTAGTAGTCTTTGTCTCGATGATATGTGTCCATATGTTTATCAATTTCCCAAGGAACATATTTTTCTGCTTTCCATGTACTGCTATTTTACTAGTAACATCCTCAATACTTGTGGTTCCGAGGCCAACATATTGTATCAAAAATCCAATATTGAGAACATAGAGGTGAAGACAGACAATGATGTTGTTCAATACTGCAGCATATATCCCATTGAAGTATCTAACTATCATATTGAGGCATCTGTTTTGTAGAAGCATTTATTAGTGTTTTTTTCAAAATTAGCATTTGTTAGATCTATCTATTTTGAGAATATGGTTAACAAATGCATCTCCTCGTGCATGATTTTTTCTTACCTTTTATTTTTCTTTTTTCATGGATAGGCATGAGTCTAAATGCATCCAAGAAATTGTTGAATATGTTGTGGCTAAATTGGAGAGAGTTGTCGCAATTGAAGCAAAAAACCAAGTTGGTATTGATTCTCGAGTTCAGAGAGTAAATGCATTGCTGAATTTGGGGTCTGGTAAGGTTCAGTTTATAGGGATTTGGGGAATGAGTGGAATAGGTAAAACAACCATAGCATGGGCTGTTTTTAACCGAATATCCACTCATTTTGAAGGTGCTATCTTTCTCGAAGATGTCAGAAAACAATCAGAAAGTCTGAAAAATTTGCAAGAGGAGATTCTTTTAAAAATCCTTTGCTTGAAAGATTTGAGAATCAGCAGTGTTCTTGAAGGGTCAAAGATGATTCAGACAAGACTATGCTGTAAAAAAGTCCTTATTGTTCTTGATGATGTTGACCACCTAAGTCAATTAGATGCTTTAGCTGGAATGCATGAATGGTTCGGTGATGGTAGTAGAATTATCATAACCACAAAAAATAAGCATTTGCTTGTTACACATGGAGTAGATAAAATGCACAAAATGGAGGTGTTGAATGAATATGAAGCTAATCAGCTGTTTAGTTGGCATGCTTTTAAGAAGGACTATCCTGCAAAAGATTATGAGGAGCTTTCGATTGAAATAGTGCATTATGCAGGTTGCCTTCCCTTAGCTCTAAAAGTTTTAGGTAGCTTTCTGTATGGTAGAGAGATGGCTGAATGGAGAAGTGAAGTGGAAAGGTTAAAAAGAATTCCAGAAGATGAAATTATGGAAAAGCTCAAAGTAAGTTTTAATGGACTCAAAGAAGTTGAAAAAGAAATTTTCTTGGATATTGCATGTTTCTTTGAAGGGAAGAAGAAAGACTACATCAGAAGAGTACTTGATAGTTTCAATTTCTGTCCTGATATACACATAAATGTTCTCATCCAGAAATCTCTGATAACTCTTTCCAGAGGAAGGATTCTGATGCATTGTTTAATACAAGAAATGGGTTGGAATATTGTTCGTGAAAAGGCTCCAGATGAGCCAGGAAAGCACAGCAGGCTCTGGGTAGCAGAGGAAATTTGTGACGTTTTGGCTAGAGACAAGGTTAGCAATCTTCCACCTCTAAGTTAATTTCATTCCACCTTGAAGAATATTTCAATTATATTTCTCGAATATGTGTTTATGCAATTTCTCCTTTTCTTCTTCTCCTTGTAACCTGTTTCCTGGCAGGCGACAGAAAATATTGTGGGCATGTGGCTGGACTTGCCTACCCCGCAAGATGTTGTAATTAAGAATGAAGCGTTTGAAAAGATGAAGAAACTAAGGCTACTCAAAATCAATAATGCTTGTGTTTCTTATTGCCCAAATTGCATACCAAATGAGATACGGTGGCTTAAC